CCATTCCCTCCTCACTCCAGGGGAAGGATACTGCAAAATCTCCATTCCCTTCCCACTCCAGGGGAAGGATAATGTAAAATTTCCATTCCCTCCTCACTCCAGTAGAAGGATACTGCAAAATCTCCATTCCCTCCCCACTCCAGGGGAAGGATATTGTAAAATCTCCATTCCCTCCTCACTCCAGGGGAAGGATACTGCAAAATCCCTGTTTCTTCCGGATCAGCTGGGACTCGGGAGGCAGAGAATAGATGCGGGCGGGGCCAGTCAGAGGTGGTATTTACCGGTTCTCAATACTACTCAACATTTCCACTACTGGTTCTCCAGAACTGGTCAGAACCTGCTGAATACCACTGCTGGTATCTTCCCTTGAAACTGAGTTTTGAAAACAGTGTTTAGATGGGTGTTGTTTTGCCTAGACAACGCTCCAATACACAACTCCCAATAACTGGCAATTCCATCCTTTAAAGCAGCTTGTCCAACTTCTTTTGTGCTTCTTAAAGGAGTTTTGTCTATTTCCAAGATGATGGCAGTCTGCGTCTAATGCCAGATAAGCACTTGGCCTTATTTTAGGGGAGGTCTTATTGTTTTTGAAGTGCAGGAGGCAACAAGCATGATCACCTCATGGCTGCTGCTGTGTTGCAATATTTTGGGGGAGGGCTTATTTTGGGGGAAGGGATTATTTTAGTGCATGCGCTCAAAAGCCCGATTATCCGGGGAGTCTTATTTTTGGGGAAACGGTACTAATTATGACATTCTTGCCTAGGTCTCAATATCATCAGTGCAAGAAAAAAAAATAGCAATATTAACTGTACCAGGTTGTTGAAAATCCAATGTTTATTAAGGGCATCGCTGGACTTATAGAGAGTCCTTTCTCTCCTCAGTCCCCTTGAAATTCTATGTCCAACCCTCTAAACTCCCTGCTTCTTCTTCCCCATTTCTTTCTCTTGTTAAATAAATAAAAACGTTGATCTTTCCATACAGAGCATGGTTGAGCGATCACCTTGTTCGGAGACATTCTGCTTCATTTATTCCTTCAGTGGGGGGGGGGATTTTCTCCTGGTCAGCTGTTGCTTCAAATTATGTCCCTCGTAAAGGCTTTATTTATTTGTTTGTTTTTAAAAAGCCACTCTCCCCCCACCCCACCCCAATCCATGTGCTTTTTTTGAGCTTGCTTGCCTTCTTAAAGCCTTTTGTCTGCTTTTATTTTTCCTTGGTAAAGCTGGTAAAACACAGCTGCCATTTGTACTGGGGTGTCTGGCTCAGGTGCCAGTTTCTGCCCCTTGATATTTTTCAATTAAGACCCGCTTTAAAGGTTGGCAATAAAAGTTGGGCAGGACTGGCACTTCTTTAAGCTGGCAACCCTCTATAGCTCACAGAACACTCCAGAAATAGTAATGTGGAAAGATTGGAAATTGGAGTAAACTCAGAATCACTTGATTCTCAGCAGAGGCATTTGTAAGGGTTTGATATTAGGAATTTGCAATAGGAGTAGACTTATATACCGCTTCATAGGCCTTTCAGGCCTCTCTAAGCGGTTTACAGAGAGTCAGCATATTGCCCCCAACAATCTGGGTNCCATTCCCTCTCCACTCCAGGGGAAGGATACTGTAAAATCTCCATTCCCTCTCCACTCCAGGGGAAGGATACTGTAAAATCTCCACTCCCTCCTCACTCCAGGGGAAGGATACTGTAAAATCTCCATTCCCTCCCCACTCCAGGGGAAGGATACTGTAAAATCTCCATTCCCTCCCTACTCCAGGGGAAGGATACTGTAAAATCTCTCTTCCCTCCCCATTCCAGAGGAAGGATACTGCAAAATCTCCATTCCCTCCCCACTTCGGGGGGCAAGGATACTGCAAAATCCCCAATTCCCTCCACACTCCAGGGTAAGGATACTGCAAAATCTCCATTCCCACCTCACTCTGTGGCCAGCCAGAGGTGGTATTTGCCAGTTCTCCAAACTACTCAAAATTTCTGCTACTAGTTCTCCAGAACCTGTCGGAACTTGCTGAATTTCACCCCTGGTGGAAACTAATCAAGGAGAGAAGCGACCTAGAACTAAGGAGAAATTTGCTAAAATTCAAAATTTGAGCAGGGGGTTGGACTAAAAGACCTCCATGGTCCCTTCCAACTTTGTTGTTCTGTTAGTCCATATTCTGTACAAAAACCCTGTTTGCACCTCTCCAAAATGCTGAAATGGTGCATCCATTTGTAATTTTCCCCTCCGTATCCAGAACAAGGTTCTCAGAGGAGTGTATGCTGAATGGACCTGCCTGAAATCTTCCCTCTGCAAGTATCAAGATTTGAATATGAAAAAAAAGATGCTTTTGCAACAAGGAGCAAAACTAAATGCAAGGAAATAAAAGTTATCCCTGGAAGTTTTGATAGATCATCTCAGAATAAACACAAAACCTGGGAACTCATCCAAAAAAGTAGAGCAGCTGTAGTTAAACTTACAATGGCATCGGAAGAATAAAAACTGCTGAAGCAATGTTAAAAATTAATTATTCTTTGGACTTTAAATCAGGTGTCATAACCATTCTGAGCAGTCAGATTTTCTTCACTGGGTAATTTCTGAAAATATAACATGTTGGAAAGCAGCTCAGAAGTTATCAGAAATCCATTTTATACTCCTGATTCACAAACATTATTAGTGTTATTGTCTCCCTTAATTGCAAACCCACTTGTGTGTAACGTTGCTTTACTTCTTTCACACAGCAGAACCAGGATGAAAATACAGGTAATCCTTGATTTACAACCACAACTGAGTGTTGTGGCCGAGTGGAGCTGGCAGCAGAGTTGGACAGTGAGGAGGTTGGGGAGGAACATGAGCCAGTCCTGGAGGCTGGGGAAGGCTCGAAAGAGGGCTCTGCATTGGAGGCAGAGCCCTCGTCTGGCAGTTATCAGCTGCCTTCAGAGTCAGAGATCAGTGAGGCAGAGGAACAGCTGGAGCCTGTTCCCAGTGTGCTCATG